GGGTTCCTTGAGACATGTAATTTATTTTAAGGGTTTCGCAAGGGTAAAAAGGTCGAGAAATGCTGTTTTAAGCAGTAAAATCAGGAATGCATGCATGACTCATTATAGTTGTAGAACTACCTGGTTCACATTCCTCCCTGGTCTTTTGAACTGAAGCAGAGGTTTATCCCTTGTTTTTTGTTTACGATGGGGTTTTTGGTTCTGTCTACATTATACTTCAACTGTATACTTCGAAATTTATACTGTTATTGGGTTTCTGGTTCCTTCTAAAGTCTTTTCTTTATCTTTCACTTTTAGTAGCCTCTTGCATCTTAGTGGCATTATTGCCTTGCTTGAGGTGAATTGAAAAGAAAAAATCTATTGATAATAAAGTCCATAATTCAAAGAAAAATAAATAATTCCAAGAGGTATCTGAACAATTGAATTCTTTGTATAATTTATTTTTATTTTTTTTTTTTTGACCATTTCACCCCAACCAAGGCAACAAAGCCACTAGAATGCAAGCAGTTACTGAGTGTTAGAGAATACAAGGAAAACAAAAATACTATTAAGAAGAAACTGTTTCCATAATGTTTCCGCCGAGTTTGTCTGGAGAAATCTTAGGAGTGTATTGATGATAAACATGTTAAGAAAAGAAAAAAAAAAGAGAGAAGTTGTAACGGAAAGGAAATATCAGTATTATGACAAGGCAAGCAAAGAATAAAGAAAGAAAATAGCAAAAATAAATAAATCTCTAAAAGGACAATAAAAGAACAGAAATTGTAATGGGATAAAGAATATACAAAATATTGTATATACCCAAAAATTGTGAAAATTTTTATGGTCAATTTTTTATTCAAAAAATAGGGGGTCACACAATACATAGTTAATTACAGTGTAACCCGGATATAAGAGAGTTGTTGGGCCCGAAGAAGAAGTCTCTTATATCCGGGTTTGGTCTATTTTGTTTAGGTAAGTATGGGCTCTAATTTGGGACCAGAGAAAATCTCTTATATCTGGGTTACACTGTATTTCAAAGAAGTTAAAAATCCTGTATTTTCGGTAACCAGTTGGATGTGTTAAAATTCATGTAAAATAAAATTCAGGGGTTAGACGATACATGAAATCAGCTTATGCATGAATATATACGTAATAAAAAAAGAAACGAAGATGCAGAGAATGGGCACACCTAATCTGCCTGTAGATATTGCCTTAGAGCAGTATTTCTCAACATTTTTAATCAACAGCACACCTAGGAGCAAATGAACATATCACTGTACACTTACCAAAATTTTTAAAAGGTATACATTTCAATGTCATGAAATAAAACCATAGATTTAAAAATAATACACACATATGAACTTAATTTATTTCAATGTTTCTATCCAGTTCTTAAGTGGGAAACCTGTGCCTATCGTTTTTTGAGATTTCTTCAAATGTTTAGTCGAATGTGCAATAAGGAAACCCTCATTTCATCTTCAGTTGAGCACAAACTTTCTCACTTCCTATTTTTGATATTTAGAGTTGAGAAGCCAAATTGATGTAAATAAGAAATAAAAAAATTCAATGAAATTGTTAAAGCCTTTTTAGCTGATGTGGGATATTCCTTTTGCACTGAAATACAAAATGTATCAATGGATAGCATCAAATGTTTTATTTTCAGCTCTTGGTCACTAGAAATTGTGGTCAATTCTTCTTCACATAACTGAAGTCCAATATTAGAAGGAAGATAGTGAAAAGTATTATTTGAATAATAATATATAATAATTTATTCAAATACTAATGCTGTACTGTTACTACTTCCAAACACAAATACAGGGTGCGATGGATAAATTGTCATCTAAATTATACAAAAATGAAAATAACACTGACATCTCATTTTAACATATGTTTACTGAAATTACACAAAAATATCTTGAAATACTAAAGAGTAAATTTATTCAATAAAATCACCATTGGTTTCAATCATGGCCTCCAGAAGACTTTGGAATCTTCTGCAACTCTTCTGGATGGCCTCCTTCTTTAAGTTTATGAATACTGCCATAATCCTTATCTTCAGTTCATCTTTGGTCTTAAGTGTTTTGTTAGTCTCTTGCACAACTGCAACTCACACATAATAATCAAGGGGGTTGTAATCTGGGGTGTTAGGTGACCAGATGTAAGGGGTGATATGGTCGCAGAAATTGTCTGACTGCCATAAATGGGTTCTCCTGCTTGTATAGCATGGTGCAGAGTCATGTTGCTAGACACAGGGTCTCCCAACAGCCACCCTCTTGACCTAGAGTAGCACTACCTCCTCAAGGCACTTGATGTAGGCTTCTGTGTTGAGTCTGAGACCCTCAACAACAAATTTGTGAGTTCCTTTCTTATCAGAATGAGTCTTCTGAGCTGCTGTAGTTTCTTAATCACTATTAGACTCGTCCAACTCTTTCCAAATCCTCTGCACTGTCTTCAGATTGACACCCACACACTCCGAAATATTTATTTTGGAGCTTCTGGCACAAATGCCAAGTAGTACAGCATGCTATTTCCAAATTTCTGGCAAAGTTAATTGCGTAATGATGCTCTCTTTCTCATGGTGTCCAATTGACCAGTCAACAAAATCAAAAACAAACAATGTGTATGCGCTAAATTAAAAATATAACATGGCAACAATTAACACATCCTAGTCTGTATGTATGCCATGATAATATTTTGTGGCATGCTTGTGTGCCGCAGTACGGCTGTTGAGGATCATTGCCTTAAAGCTATAGCCTTCATTTATATGAAATGATGATATTAGTTCATCCCTGTGCCAAACATGGATATTTACTTCATAAACGGTATTGTTTCATTGCATGTCATTTCTTCTCTCTGCTTGATTATTTCTCTCTTCATCACGGGGGCACATGATTCTCTGGGCTGGTGTTATCCATCTGATAGCCAGGGATCCATAAATATATCAGGCATTTTTTTTACAGAACAAATGAACTGGCCACTTTTTCTGCCTTTTTTGCAATTGCACACATCATAGGAAGAAATGGCTTCATGCCTTTCTTTAGAGAATTAACACAGTAGAGTTATTCATGGTATGGATGACCAGAAAGGAATATAAAAATTATGACGGGATCAATAAACAAGATTGAAACAATTTCTACTGCATGAAAGAAAACAAACAAATGGTATTAAGAACAACTATTATTAAACTATAAGGATCCAAATTCTCTATGTTTATCATAACACAACAAAAATGACACACTGTAGCACAATCTTTGTTAACACAATACTATTAAACTGCTTTAATTTAGAGAATAAAGATGTTCCTGTTTAAGAAGGCCACCAGGTTTTGAGTAATTTTTAACAGAAATACACTTCTAATTAGAATCAGAAAGATGCAGTTGAAATTTCTGACAGTGATTGAGGAAAGGGGGCTTGGAGAATTTAACACACATGAGACATAGTGAAGGCAATAGGAACAGAGGGAAACAGTAACCTACCTAATAAGCTTGTATGAATGGATATGGTGGAACAGGGACTTTTAGTAAAGGGACAAACATGTTTTAGAGCTACAAATGATGGGAAAATGTGGTGATTCATGATCAACCACATCCTGAAGGGTCATACAGGCCCATATTTGTCTTATATGATTGAATTAGTAGACAACTGGATTGTAGTAGACCTACTGATAATGTCATTTATTTGCTTATATTTTTTTTTTTTTTTTTTGTGGGAACCCATACAGAATTGGGATAGAGGAGAAACAATTTTAGTTTCCTCAGCTCTAACTTTAGGATTCTACAAACATCAGAGAGTAGCCCTGATCATCATCTTTCTTTTTTTTTTAGCTAAATGTTTAACAAATACAAGACAGTCAAGGGAGAGGCTTGCAAAATCAGGTTGTATGGACAAAAGTAAGTGTAGATTATGATGATACATATGTTCATACTTATTATAAAACCCAGGTTGTGTGTGTGTGTCTGTATGTTTATATATTGGATCGGATTTCTTACATTTTTCAACTGATTTCAACAAAACTTCACAAGACTACTTAAAATTACCTTGCGGTGGTTCTGACAGCGCCAAAAAGTCGAGAAACACATTTGTTTTTGCACGAAATCAATTTGAAAACATGATTTGAAAACACGGGCTCTACTGCTAGTATATAATGGTTGACACTAGACTGGAAGAAGATAAGATTGTAGATTTCAGGGAAGAATTCTCTTGGACATTTGTTCAATAAAGTAACAGTTCTCAGGAAGAAGAACTTGCTTCTTACTAATGGAATTTGAATGGAATGAGGATGGTACACTTGAGTATATGACAGTTGTAAATATACAAACTGGTAGAACTAGAGAATGTAGCTTATCAGAAAAAAATGCAATGGGAAGGTGCTGCTTGGTGGAACAAGTTCCCTGGAACTAGAGATTCATAAATTTGTTTTTGATCAACCAAGGACCAATATTAGATGATATAAATTTTTGTCTCAATCATGTACCAGCAACTTCATGCCTCAGAGATTTATATTTAAAAAAACTGACTGCAGCTTAGCAAATAATAATACTGATACATTTTAAAGCAGAAGAGAGGAAACTATAATAAACTCAGCCTTGTTAGAGAACTGAGGAAGTTGTGAAATATGAAAATGACAGTCATGCAAGTCATTATGGGAGCACTGGTAATGATCCTAAAAAGACTGGAGGGACTGTTGGAACTATCAAGATAACTGGTGAAAACAGCTGAAGAGAGTGCTGGAACATTGAGGAGACTTGCTGTCACTCAACCATGTGGACAATCAATGGTTGAATAATAATAATAATAATAATCGACCATGCATGACAAGAACACAATTAGTGATTAAAAAAAATACCAAAATTCTCAGGGAATTCTGAATTTAAATGGATGCCTCAATCCAAGTGTGACTAGATTTAATAACCATGAACAAAAGATAACAAATGTTGCTTTTCAAAAAAATGAAATCGAAAGAAAGTGAAACATACAATACATACCTGAAAACTAAAACATTGCCTGAGAACTAAAAACACTTATGGTGCTTGAAGGATAAAGAAGAGGGAAGGAGGACAAGGATGTGGAGGTGTGGGAAGAGAAAAAAAAAGAAAGACAAAAGGAAAAGAACAAATGGTAAGAGAAGAAAAAAGCAAAAAGCAGTAAGAGAATGACAAAATGTAGTAAGACAACAGAAGAAAAGAGGCAAGGGGTGGTAAGAGAAGAAAAGAGGCAAGGGGTGGTAATAAAAGAAAAGAGGCAAGGGGTGGTGGTAAGAGAAAAGAGGCAAGGGGTGGTAAGAGGAGAAAAGAGGCAAGGGGTGGTAAGAGGAGAAAAGAGGCAAGGGGTGGTAAGAGGAGAAAAGAGGCAAGGGGTGGTAAGAGAAGAAAAGAGGCAAGGGGCGGTAAGAGAAGAAATGAGGCAAGGGGCGGTAAGAGAAGAAAAGAGGCGAGGGGTGGTAAGAGAAGAAAAGAGGCAAAGGGGTAAGTAAGAGGAGAAAAGAGGCAAGGGGGCGGTAAGAGGAGAAAAGAGGCAAGCGGTAAGAGAGAAGAAAAGAGGAAAAGGGCGGTAAGAGGAGAAAAAAGAAGAGGAGAAAAGAGGCAAAGGGGTAAGAGAAGAAAAGAGGCAAGGGCGGTAAGAGAAGAAAAAGAGGCAAAAAAGGGGCGGTAAGAGAAGAAAAGAGGCAAGGGGCGGTAAGAGAAGAAAAGAGGCAAGGGGCGGTAAGAGAGGAAAGAGGCAAGAATCCATAAGTAAAAAAAATGACAAGGAGAGGTAAGAGAAAAAAAACTCAAGAGGCAGCAACAGAAGAAAAAGTCAAGAAGTGGTGAAAGAGAGAAAACAAAAATATTAAAAGAAAAGGAAGGAATAAAGTAAAGGAAAAAAGATGAAGTGATGGAAAGACAGATATAAAAGAAGTGATGAAAAAAGAAAGAAAGAAGGTGAATGAACAAGAAAGACAGGAGAATAAAAATCAAAATGAAGGAAGAAGAGAGTGATGAACAATAACACTGAGAGGAGAAAAAGAAGGAGGAACCAAGAAGTATAAGAAGAAAGACATAGAAGAGAAAAAAATACATAAGAGAGGAAGAAGAAAAGAAAAAGAAAGATGACAATAGGAAAGAGACCTAGGAGAAGAAATAAAAATGGCTGAGTTGTATGTTACATAAAGACATTCTATCAGTGATGTTCAGAAAGCAATATACTCTCCAAGTTGAACTGTTACCATTATTGGAATAATGCTTGGAAGCACCTGAAACATTTTTAATTCTTGCCTTACCTAAAATCTCTAATCTGAGACATCCCCAGAGCAAAAGAACATCTAAAAATCAAGCAGGGGAAAGATGTTTCATCCACAGGTCTAAAAATACTCAAATGAAACAAGAAGCGAAGATGCTAACTGGCAAATTTTGCCAATTCTGAATCTCATTAACTGAAAAATAGTTATTAAATTAAACCTATCATGGAAGTTTGGGGCAATGGAGCCAACCAAAGACACTTTCAGACTCTAGGGTACACTGAAACTATCACTGTCCACTAATGAATTATTCTTGTCATCTAAGTGCTGAAAACTTGGCAAATGGAGAAATTTTTGATCGTTTATGTAAGCCACTTGTAAAGTTTTACTTCTAGTGTTGGTCTTGGGCAATGACTAAAATGCCATTTAAATAAATCACAGATCAGTGAGATTTCTTCTGGCTAAGTAGCAGGAATGGAGAAAGTACTAGAAATGGACAGCAGGTGGTATTGCTCCAAGAGGGTCTGGATTTTCGGACCAGAAGTGAGGATGGAAAGATTTAGCAGGGCCATGATTTTCTAGATGATGCAGATGATAGGTGTTAATTTTAAAGCCTCAGGTGTTGTTCTTTCTGATTCGAATCTACTCAAAGAGTGCTTGCAGCAGTGCTGCTGGGTGGAAAGGGTAAAAGTGATAATCAAAAGGAAGCATCGATGATAAAGCAAGCTTATAAAACTAAAATTATTTTTAACAGAGTAACCTCTCAGATATGGAGGGACAAAATGGTTTCACAGTCATAAGCCCCAAACACAGAATCAGTCTAACAATGATCAAATATGGAGACTGTTGTCTTCTATTTACACTAAGAGGATGACTTTTGTTAAGGTTGACAATGGATAAAACAGCTTTTTACTGTGTCTGGGTAGGAGAAAAGTAGTTATTCCAGAGGTAGGGGTTACTAAATCACTTTATTCTCAGTTAGGAGGAGAAAAAATGATTCATGCTTTCTCCAAGGTCATTAGTGTAATGTGAACATAAGATAGAGTTTAGTAAATACCACAAAAGAAGAGCTAGATCTTTGTCTAGTTCTCATTTTTATTTGATTCAATAAAGAATTTTTTGAACAATTTTTTAAAATTAGTTTTATTTGTTAATTAAATTTTGATTCTTTTAAAAAAATTGTTTTCTTGTCACTCATTGGTCTTGACAAAGGTCTAAACATGCCACAATAGTTGATACAAAAGACATTTAATTCAGATCAATGATTCTTCTATTCTGTGATGCTTAAAAAAACACTACCACAGTGCCATCCTACTCTGGGATATAATAAAGTGCAACATGTCAGTGATCTCTGAATTAGGCAAATGACCAATCAATGATATATTCAAATGTTGATTCAGTTTGCTTGTTAACCTTTAGCACACTGTATGCAGGTGACTTCATTTATAAAATAAAATGTTTGCACAGCCACTGCATTCAACTCTAGTCATCAAACAATAGTGTGGTTGAATCTTGCACTAGTGTTGTCATATCCTACTATGGCAACAGGAAAATAACTAACTAAAAATCAAAGATAATGCTACTCCAGTTGTCTGGCTACTTATACCCAATGGATAAACTATTTATGAATATTGCAGAGTGCTAAAGGTTAATATGTGTTATATTTACAAGGTGCAGATATACAAAGGTCACAAGGTTGTAACAGAAAGTAGATGACTTCCTGCTTTGGTTCAAGCAAGAGCAACTGGTGATGTCCAGAATTCAGGCGCATAACCCTTTGAGTCCTGCATTCCTAAACAATTTTAATCCTTCTGCTCAAGCTCCCAAGTCAGAATTCGTAAATAATTAGTATGTAATGTCTTGTGATGTCAATGAACATTCATTGCCACTTTTGTAATGTCAATGAATACTCCTAGTCACTTTTGTAATGCTCATTGTAGAAGAGACTTTGTAATCGCAGATACAACTATAGTAATGCCATTGAACAATACTGGTGTCAGATGTCTTCGAATAACACTTGTACTAATAGTACTTGCTCAATAATACTCACTCAAAAAGGAACCACTGAATAATAATCTGAATAGTGATCCCTTAGATACCACACTAATTCCCATATATACATTTCCTTTACCATCACATGATCTACTTATTGAAAATCGGGATCACCTGTGTTTGCTCTCTGGTGATCTGTGTTCAAGCTTCAGTGTTGTCAGTGACACTTTATTCCTATATAACATAATATTTCATGGTAGATATAAAAAATAGTTACAAGTATTTACCCACTGTTCAACCAGTGGCTGAGCATTACATTATTTTTCTCTACCAGAGGGTTAAAACAATAATCATTGTCATATTACTATCATACGAAATCTTATATCTTACCTTTCATTTCTGATCCTATGCTGATTATTATCATAAATTGACAGCCTGAGTAAATATTGTTAGAATTTGTTTAGCAATATATCAACCTCTATTGGTTATTTAATGCTGAAATCTATATGTATTGTTGGTCATTCTCCTATAAATAGGTATTGTTGGTAATTTTTTTTAATAAAAATGTACTGCTGGTATTTTTACTATAAAATGCATTTTTATACTTTTATAATATTTGGGGGTTCACTATTTGCTCATTGCTGGAGCCCTAACAAGTGCTATCACCACAGGTCAGGGTAGACCTGGGAATGACAACAGTTAGGAGATGGTTCCATGCTCCTCAAAACCCACAATTTTTTGATCAGAAGCCTTGCTGCCAGATGTAGTAAATATTGTGATTAAAAGCAATAAAAAATTAAAGTGACAGTAAATAGTAAAAAAAAAAAATAGTTGACAATGCTTCATCTAATAAAATAAAATAATAATACAACTGTTATTAACATGACTTCTTTTATCCGCTATGTCCCTTCTGGATCATGGCTCTCTACTACTTCCTATCTCTTGTTCTGCAATAAGCAATGTTTATCCTTTTACTATCCACCCCCTTTCATGTTCTGCTATACATTTACACAAGCTTCTTAAGTAGATTACTCACTTTTACAATGATGTTCACCCTGTACAAGACCCAAGAGCCACTCGAGGTAGAGAGTTACAGAGTAAGAAGCACAGATTATAGGGATATGGGGAGAAGATAACAATTGACTTCAGACATGAACATGTTAAGATTGTAGTGATCAGGAGAGCATCTTCTTGGGAGTCGGTTCCAGCAGCAATGGAACTTACATCTCACCAATGGTATATGAAGGAAATAAGTGTGGTTCACTACAGTAGCATAGTAGGTCTTAGCTGTGAAGGTTAGAACTGGTGGAACTAAGGAATGTTCAATGGAAATAGCAATAGAGCAGAAGAGACTTGTGAGGTTCAGTCTATGAGAAAGGGATTGTAGGATGGAAATTAATTTGTCACCCACAAGGACGTGGAGATACTTTTGGATGCTAACCAAGATTGGAAAGTGAAAACAGAGCAGCTCCTACCCATATGTAGTTGCAGTACTATAAAGGTAGAAGATAGCAGGAGGAGTCAGATACTTACTGAAATGCCACAGGAAACTGACCACTTTTCCAGCATCTTTAGCAAAGGATAATATATACAAGTTCTACTTGAAGTCTGGGTTGAGTTTAAGTTCCAATAGGTGCTCAAACTATGGAGCCTCATTGAATTCAGCATGATCAGTAAAATTCTGGGTCTGCTCGGTGATGATGGCATATCACTTGTTTCTCTTTTGAGCTATTGAATATAACCAGCTAGATTTTCCTACCACTGAGCTGTTAGAGCTGGTTCAGAGGAGAGATCAGCTGCCAAGCTCTGGTCATCTACAGTTTTGGCGGTGCACCCATATATCACTGTATCATCAGTATAGATATTCAAAAACGACTGGCGTATACTCATTGGGAGATCATTTATGTAAAGTAGAAAGAGGGTTGGACCAAAAAACAAACCTTGGGGGTGCCTGCATTGATTGCTTGTGCTGTGAAAGATTGGCCATTTACAACTAACATTCAGGATGTACCTGTTAGGGAAGTCTTTATAATTGAGAAAACTCTTCCATTGATTCCATAATTAGAGAGCTTGTGCAGTAACCCTTTATGCCACAGGTCTCTTTGCCTTCAATATAATCTGTGAGTGTTAAATTCTCCAAGCCCCCTTTCTTTGCACAGCTAGTGTAAAAATAAAAGCAAATAGCATCACAAGGTTATGGAATGAAGTGGTCAAATTTGTTCTGCGGCAAAGATGTTAACTTTTCATAGCTTAGTGACTAAAGCATCTAGTGCATTCAACCAGGCTTTTTTTAGTCAAAAGGAGGATATTAGTTCAACTCTCATGGAGAAATGATCCTTGATTTCTGATCCTTCTCACTGCCACAGATTGAAAGTTTGAGCAAAGGTTGTAATAACACCAACTAAAAATGAAAATAAATATTAAACAAATAACAGCTACCAGTATCCCTGAACATTGCATGGTTTTTCTATTTTAATTTTCAGATGAATCACACGTCCTAATTTTCTGAAGAATCATAGGTCCTAATTTAATGACTGAATAAACTCATTGCAAGTTCCACAACTATAAAATACTCAAGGAAATTTTGCCATTGTATCATTAAATATTTGAATTTAAATTTTAAAAAAAGTATTACTATAAGGACTATAAGGATGAATGCAGGTCATTATTTAAAGAAGTAAGAGGATACAAATGAAAAGATTCAAAACTGAAAAGGATTTCTATTTCACTGAAGCAGACATTAAACACACAGTTATCACATCTTCTATCTTCCTTTTCTTTCTTTCTTATTATGCATGCTTTCTTTTTCTCATTAAAATCAAACAGTGTCTAAGATCATTTTTTCTTCTGTCTCTCCCTCATGATCAAAATGGAATGGTCCTTTATTTATCTGAGGTAATGGCAGGGTGTAATGCACATGCTAACTAACTTACTAATGCAGGAACAAGCAGAATTATAATGATTGGAAATGTTTCATTTGATAAAAAAAATTAAAAAGAACAATAATACTGTGACTAAATCTGTCTACATTTCTGAGATGAGATATTGTAAATATTTACATTGTTTGGACTATTTTCCTCATTTTTATTGTCATATTCATGATATTTCAACTGTTGTACGCTCCTGCCTTCTTCAGGTGATATATGTTGGAATTTTGAACCAAACCCTATTTTTTTTTTGTCCATCGTGGGTAGATTGTTCTAGTTCCATATGCCACACATTTTTCTGGATATCTCAGTTTCAGTTATTTCCCTTTAGTAACTCAACTCTCCAAGTTTTTGTGGCCAGGTATTAAACTCACAATTCTTTAGATCAAGTCACTGGATTACTTCAACCAATACTTTTATCCACTGGGCCATGTGTGCTTGGGAAATACAACAATCTACTTTGGTGGATGAAATAACGGGTTTGTTTATAGGTTTGTAAATAGTACTGTGACTGTTGTATCAAGCAAGATATAGTTGATAAGAGACAAGATCTGATCATTCACAATTTAAAAAAATTTTTTTTTTTTTTACCAAAGTTATTTAAAAAAAAATAACATTTGATTACTTTAATTAAGGGTGAAGTCATCACAAAGTTTTAATTCTTTTTTTTTTTTTTTTTTTTTTTTTTTTTTTACTGTGATCTTTTGGTTACAGTGGTTTTGTGACAATAAATGAGTGATAAATCTTGGAAGACGAATGTGATGAAAAACCCATTTTCCGTCCAGGAATATTTGATCAAGAAATTTTTTGGCATTCAGTTTGCTTAAATACACAAACACTAAAGAATAAATTTGGTGCTCAGTGCATTGGAATTGGTAAAGCTGAAACTGTTAGCATTTCATTTACAATCGCAAAAAAAAGAAAATTATTTTCTTGTGAATAAGAATCAGAGGCAAAGAAGAAATAATAGATTGTTCTGTTTGCAAGTCGAGAGAAGAAAAAAAAATTGACCAAATATGAGGAATGATTGTGATCTGTGAGTCAGATGTTTAGATATTATCAAAGCATGCAAGAGATAGTGTGTGATTGAACAAAGAGAATATCCGATCTGCATATAATTGCATAGAAGCACTTGAATAAGTTGGTCTTGTAGAGAACTTTGAAAAGAATCATTAGCAGCTGAACCTCCTCTTCACATATACTTGTTGATGTTAATACATTTCGGACAATCCATTCTTCAGAGGCACCTCAGTGTGGTGTAACAGTTACTGAGGCTAGTCTGGTCTACTAGTGAATTCACCCCAATCTGGGATCCCCATACAAAATTCAACATTAAATAACACGATACACAATGACATGTCATAAAATCAACAGGTCAAACTATTCTTCAGTATTATTCCATAAGAAAAAGTTTCATTCTTCCAGAGGAGAAACAAAAAAATGTCTTTTTTTCAACTCCACTACAGAATTTTATTTTAGACTAAAAAGACATTTTTTTGCCCCAAATGCAAAACTAGACTCAAAGGCTATTGTAAAATAAATGGATGAGGTGTGTGATATAAATAAAAAAGTGGTGGTAGGAAGTGAAGATTTTGAGGATAGGCAACAATTAACTCTTGACTTGAAGAATCAAGGGTTAATTGTCACTTTCCTTCAGAAGGAAGCACCAATGCAGAAGGCTGTATTACAAAGTGACAATTCTTGAGAAAAAAGAAAAATGTCTCAGTGGAACATTTCCTCTGCATTTAAAATCTAGAGGAAATGAGGATGATTCAACTCTTTAGAAATAACATGGTGTTTTCTAGTTGTAAAGATCTGAACTGGTAGAGCTAAAGAACCAAGCTCATCTGAACCTTTGGTATGGGAACAATATTAGGCTTGCAATGTTGTCTCTGGGAAAGAGGCTGGCAACTGGAAATTAAGTCATCATGCACAATACCGCATAAATAATTTTAAACTTTATCAAGATTAAAAAGATGAGGATGGAGCAGCTCAAACCAAAATATGACAATGAGACTTAGTTTTTGGCTTAATCTGACTCTTATAAGCATAAAACAGTAGAAGAATTAAATTGATTGATTCATTCATTTTCTATGGCCTATCAACCCTTTACAGGTTATTTAAAGCCAGAAAATATTTTTAGATTGTAGGAATTTCTTTTTGCAATAATAATGGTATAGTGAAGAAGTCTGACAAATTAACCCATAGCTGAGGAGAGAAGAGGTGGATTCATACCTTTCCCAAGGATATTTGTGCATAAGTGAATATATTGAACCCAACATGAATTGGAACTTAAAAATTCTGAGCTCTTATCGATTACACAACCTACACATCTAAGATTACAGCACTTGGTATTTCTAAGTGGTCACCTATCAAGTACTGACCAGGCTCAATGTTGCTAAATTTCAGTGATAGTATGAGCATTGGTGTTTCAATGTGAAGCCAAGAAGAAGTTTAGTATTTCCTGGGGTGATAGAATGAGTCAAACATTTTCCCAGCCTCTTTTTGGCAATGGATCATATATATGAGTTCAATTTGGAATCTGGAATGAACTTGAGACATAAACATTCAAAACAATGAGCCTCATTTGGAGTGCAACATTCATCAATGCTGGAGAAAACTCAGAGAATACATATGAAGAGGGCTGAAGAATTGATAAGCTGAAATATTAATATCATCAATTACACAAAGAAGTTTTGTCTAAATATCATTGGTTCAGTCAGCATTTGTGTATTTTTTCTTTGGAAAATTGTGTATTTATAAATGTAAAAGACAATAAGAAAACTGTAATAGTTGCCGACGCATTTCGTCTGATATGGATTTTTTTTAAAAAAAATGTTCACATTAGACGAAACGCATCGTCAACTATTACAGTTTTCCTATTGTCTTTTACATTTATAAATATTGTCTTTTTCTACAGGTTAATTCTGAGAAATTTTTCAAAATTGTGTATATATATATATTGTTTGTCTGACGATCGCAAAAGTGTGAAACCTAGGGTCACAAACTCACATCAATCCAACCAAATATATATATTTTTAAACACACATAGTGAGACAATACTAATATATAAAAAAGTTCAATGAAAGTGCTCAATGTTGTGTAAAGTTTAAATAAACAAACATAAATTATAAAATACAAATGCAAATTTATGTTTTATAATTTTATATTTACATGCATATATGTGTGTGTGGGAAACCACCATTTGATCCAGTGTTCTTTAGACTCCTCGGCCACACAGAACGTCACAGTTCGACAATGTTCTATTTTCCCTTTGAAGGAATGCACACATATTCAGATTGTTCTTCAAGTTCATATCTGCTCAGTTTTGTATCCGAAATGTAAACAAAGCAATTTCTTAAGAATTATTGGATTTACTTTTAATCAGCAAGTGTTCTGAAGCAAGCTAGATCAAATGGTGGTTTCCCCTAAAAAGGGGAGACACAGATTTGAATCCTGCTGGAAGGTACATTTTCTTTAAGATTTCTCAAGTGTGCCCTTCTGATATGTATAGCTGGCCACTCAAATTCAAGGATACCCATTTACTAGGGCGGCTAGCCAACCCCTATTGCAGATGCTTGCTCAGGTGCATTTGTGTTTATTCAACACCCACACTTATAATTTATAGTTTATAACTATGCTGAGCAGACCGTAGTTAGTTTCTGGGAAAGAGCGTGTTATCTAGCATGATCAACAATTTGAACAAGGCCAGCAAGCTCACGCCCTCAGCCACAATGACTTGTGACTTTGTGCTAGCACAGCTATCAATGGCACATAAGGGTTCAGTCTACCCAATTTCACTCACAAGGGTAGGGTCAACTTGTGGTATGGTTTTCAGGCACTTTCCAAGGGTGTTGCATGCTGGGATTGCCTCCCCCACCCCAGTCCAATAACATCAGGAAATCTCCTTCCTGACAAATCGACCATGGTGAGAATTGAAACTGGGTCTCATGGTTAGAATGCAAATGTTCTAACCACTCAGCCATGTGCCCTTCTGATAGACTAGATGTAATAAACACTGTTTAAAAAAAAAAAAAAAAAAAAAATAGGGCATCTATTTCAAACACGGGTATCCTTTAAAAACAACATTAAAATTAATAAGTTTTACTTTATTTGACCTATTGGACTTACTAAGACAGGAATAAACAGTTGTGTCATCAGTATAAATACCTAGTTGGGAACTAATGACATTGGTAAGGTTGTTCCTGAATATAAGAAACAATATAGGTCCAAGGATACCAAAGCTACATGGTTTATCAGGTTAGGTTAATACATATTTAATATAATAGTGTCTCCAAATTCGGTGTGTGTTTGTATATATTTCTTATTACTATAAATATAAGTGGGTAAATGTGACCAAGTTGCTACTTCTGTATATTTATTTTCTTAAATAGTGAAATTAGTAACAAATGGCCTGGTCCTACTGAAGAAAGAATATGCCTCCAACCGGAGTTGAAACTGTATCCATTTTTTTCCATCAGTGAAAAAACTGGTGGTTATAAAAATTGTTAAGTTTCCCCATAGTTTACCTTTCCTTGCACAGCTAGCTTTAAGAATATTTAAGAGCATTTTCAAATTTTAAATTTGAAATGGTAACAAAACTTTTCCTCCCATTTCCTTCTGTGTACAAAATAAAAACCTCCATATTTATCCTTGATAAATTCCTCAGCAGATAAAATGTCTTGGTACAGATGAGTTTTCCTATTGTCATATATATATATATATATATATATATATATATATATATATATATATATATATATATCAAACATATATTGTTAAATATAACAGACATATAATGTCTAAATATTTGATCTGCTGCCCTAATGTCTACTATATATATATATATATATATATATATATATATATATATATATATATATATATACACACACATACATATCAAGAGCTGAATTGGTTTCGTCTTAAACACATGGAATCACACATTGTAGGAATATATGGTGGGGAGAGTAAGAGTGAGTGAGTGATCGATAGCGAGGTGGATGGATGGACCTGGCTGGGTAACTGGTTGATCAGTCAAGTTCAGATATGCAGTCACATTATCACACTGCATGTGACGCAATCTGATATGTGGTGCATAGATCCAGGAGAAATGATATTTGATCAACTTGTCACAAGATTGATTGCAATGCAAGACAAGATAAGTTAATTTCCCGCCAAAATTACACCTCTAACAACCTATTTCTTCTCTTACATGTAGCTACTGCATCTTGCCCTCATCTTCTGTTATCGCTGTTTTTGTGCAGCCTGAGGGAACAGCATTTAACTTGCTGTGTCCTGTGGCTATACTTCTTCCAAAGCAACATTGAAAGAAAAAAGGCAAAACAAAGAAAATCATGCAGAATGGTAGGAAATCATTAAAGTGCCATGAAAATCATCATCATTATCAGCGAAGTTTCGACTTAAAGGCAACTGCAAATTAGTGTGATTTCTCATCTTCAGTATGGTTGCTTGTTTTTCGATTATGCATGTCAGTGCAGTCCCATTTGGGTTTCTTTAACATCTACAGTCTCAGAAGACTATTAAGTTTGCAAGCTAATCCTGGCCCGGCTTAACGCCTGTGGTTTACGCTGCTGAGTGAACATCAGTTACAATTCAAGTACATGCCCTGTCAGTGCAGTTTTGAAATCAGAGTTGTTCTATACTGGTTGCCAACAATTTCTAGAAATCCCAGTATGCCCTGCTATTTAACCCATAGTTTGGGAGAAACAGATGAATAGGTATTTACTATAGGTATTTATGAAAAAGTTAATATAATGATTTCAATTGGGATTCAAACTCAGATTGACATTTTGAAACTTTAACCACTATACTACCTGCACAGTCCTGTCCTGAAAAGAGCAGATTTAATATGTTTCATGTGATGTTGCTTGTGGGTAGAATTGGAGGTTATGGAAATATGCCTGCAGGGTAGAAAGGAACACTAGAGCACTGTCACTGATTAATAACAAAATGCAAAAAAGAAAATGTTAGATAAAGGGGGTGGTCATTGAACACAATGTTGGCCATTTCCTAACTTTTCCATCCTTACAAATATTTTGACAATTTCCACCACCTGACAATCTTCTTTTTCGAATCCAATTCCTTCATAGTTGCAATCTTTATCTTTAAAATCTCTTTTTTTCTTGTCCCGACTTTGTCCACTTCTTTTCCGAGTGAGACCTACACTCATCCAGAGAAAATGGCTGTTTTCTACATCTTTTTTAGACCAGGAAAAGTAAAACAAGCTGATGATGAAGTAATGAAAAAGCAAATCGCAATTATATACATTTATATAATATGAAAGCTTTTCAGATGAATGATCAAGAGAGGAAACAAGTGTGTGCGGAAGAGAGTGATGAAGGGGAAAATGCCAGCCTCCAGCGGAAGATTGCAAGCAAGGAAAAGAAAAGACGGATTATGTGTTCCTAGAAAATGTCCACCTCTTGGCGTCCGATGATTGTAAGCCAGAAAGTGTCATCTGTGTCAGAAGTTCCATATGGATGTAAATAGGGTGACTTTTTGGTCACGATTCATGTTCGCTGTCTGGGATAAATAGGTGAAGGAAGATAATGATAGTATTGATGATAGGAAGGAATTAGAGAGGATGGCAATAGGGAGAGAGAAAATGGCGGAGAACTGCTGCTACAATGATGATTGAGGAATAATAGGTGGTTGGCAGAAAAAAAAAATTATATAGAAAAGAAAGGCAATCAGAACAAGAGTAAAAGAAAAAGTGAGAAAATAGAAAAGAAGGAAAAATATAAAGGAGGGAGTTTCAAGAAAGATTTAAAAAAGAAAAAGAGAGAGAGAAAGAGATAAATGAAAGAATTAAAGAAAAAGAAGTAGATTAAAAGTGAAGAAGAAGAAAAAAGTGTTGGTTGTTGACGATGGTGGGAGAAAAGAAGTGTCAATAGCAGTTTGCATAATAGAAAAAGATTTAATGGGAAGTTGTAAGGGAAGGAAAAAAAAAAATCAACATTGAAAAAGAAGAGTTGGAGTGATATGAAGGAGAAGAAAAAAAAGATGTCCTCCTTCCTGATAATAGAGAGAAGTAACATAAAAGAAAAAAAAAACACAGACAACCTGTATTTAAAAAAAAAAAAGAAAAGAAAAGGCAAGCAGGAAAAAAAAAATATGGAAAATGAATAAAAGAGAAAATGTAGAAGAAGCAAGATAAAAAAAAAACGAAAGAAAACCAAGCCAGGGAAGAAAAAAAGAATGAAAAATAATAGAAAAGAAGATAGAATAAAGAAAACAAAAGAATGAAAAACAAAACAAAAGAAAAACAGGGGAGGGAAAAGTTAAAATTGAATCAAGAAAAGTGAAATAAATTTGGGAGAAGAAAAAGAAAATGAAAAAGAAAGCAAGAAATATAAGGCAGGTAAAAAAAAAAGAAGAAATGAATAAAAGAAAAAAAAAACTATGAAGGAAAATGAGATAAACTACACAACAAAAACATCTAATATATTTTTTGATGAGGGTATGAGTGTGTGTGTAGGGGGTAGAGACAAGAATGGATAAGTCAAAGGTGATGTATTGCTAAGTCAATATCTTGCACTAGTTTATGAAAGTGGAATGCATATTTATTGGAAGAATGGTAGGGAACTGGAGAAAGAACAAGACCAAGGGTTGATCCCATTATAGAGATTATAATATCAAGTGATATCAGAGAGTGAGAGAGGGAAGGAGAGAACAAAACAAACCAAATAAATGTATTACGGTGAGGTGGGGGGTGGTCTTTATGAATAATACTTGTATATTGCCAGTTCCATGAGACAGGCATACTACCAAAGTTATCAGGAAAAACTGAATTGTTGGTATGAACAAACAAGCAATAGAAATTAAGACATCCAAAAACGGAGGCAGTTATCTCAGAGAAACAGGCTCTATCTTCTTAATTTTGTTACATTTTAGATTTTTATACACTTTTTACCATTTCCTTAGAAATCCCATGATTTCATTTCTCAAAACTACAAAAAATATATAAAGACAGCTCATTGATAACTGATGATTGCAATGTCCGAGCTACAAAGAGACCTATTTCTCTTGATCTCAACCAATATATAAAGCCCAAAGTTTGTGTGTCTATTTGAAACTCTGAAAATTAAATATTTATATCGTTGTAGACAAAAATTGTCTAATATTTTTTTTTCTGTTTAAATTTCTGGGATGAGGTGTGATCATTATTTACACTATTTACGTACAGAAAATTGTGCTAATCTTTGTTGTTGTTATCACAACATTTCGACTGTTGTGCTCTCTGGCCTTCATCAGATGCACGTAAATCATTTTTAATTGATTTGTTTTCTATGGCTTATCAACAATTTGCAGGTTAGTTAAAGCCAGAAAATATTTTTAGATTGTAAGAATTTTGAGAGAAAGATAATAATGGTTTAGTGATACAAATCTTACTAATTAACTCATAGCTGAGGAGGGAAGAGGTGGATTAGTGAGTAAGTGAATATAACAAACACAACTGGAATTGGAACTCAGTTCTCTGATTTCCAATTCTGAGCCATTATGCATTACACCACCTGCACATCCAAGCTTACTGTACCTGGTATTCCCAAGTGGTAACCCTTTGAGATAATGACCAGGCTTAACTTCAGTGATTGTACAGGAATCAGTGTTTCAACATGGTGTGGCCATAAGCCAATCTGGGTAACCTACAAGTAATTTCAAACTGAACCCTTTATTTAATCTATGTGAATTAATTATTCTTGTTCCACTGTTCATGTTTAGGGTTGTCTGCTTCTTATTTCCATACTAATGAATTGACTGTTTACCAGCAAGTCTGAGTACATTGCCCATCTCAGGGACTGAAGTCACAATTACTATGTTACCAAATTCAGGAACCAAACCTTTAATTGACAAGGCCATTATGCTGTGCCACATTTATGTATGGAAAACTTAGAGCAACACCAAAGATGAAAACAATTGTCCACATGTAAATAGCGTGAATAACAAATTTTTTGAATGTTGGTACATGTTCTGAGACTTCTATTCTCTTCATCACAATCCCAGTGTGCGGCACCTTTGGAAAGTGCCTGAAAACCATACCACGGGTTGACCAAGCCTTATTAGTGAAATTGGGTAGATGGAACACTTGGGGATTTTGATAGCTGTGCTAGCACAAAGTCACAAGTCACCATGACCAAGGGTTTGAGTGTGCTGGTGTTGTCCAGGTTGTTGATCGTTCTAGGTAATACACTCTCTCCCAGAAACTGTAACTAAGATCTGCTCAGCATATGTGCAGTATAAACCACAGGTTGGCTCTGTGGGTATTGAACAAACACAAATGTGCCTAAGCAAGTGTCAGCAATAGGGATTGGCTAGCCACCCTAGTAAACGGGTATCCTTGAATATCGAATACTGTGGCCAGCTATTATTCTCTTCGTCAGCCAAAGATTACAACTGATTTAATTTTTAAGTACAAATTCAAAAATACAATGCAAACATGTAACAGACAATATTTTAGAAATACTTCAAAATACAAGATAATTACTATATTTGACGGTATATAAGGCACACAGTTTGTTTTTTTTACTAAAAATATCTTTTAAAATTCCCCTGTGTCTTATATGCCATATGTAGGTTTAAAATTTATGATAGTTGGCTGAAATTAGCTAGCTGGCAACTCCTATTAGCTTAGACTTAAACAAAGGAGCAATGGAACACGTGGATGGCAATGCTTGATCATGACCTTACATTTACAGGAAGAATAAAAAGACCCAGAATTGCACAAGTCTGTGAATGGGTGAAGCAAGCATGGGATAATATTAGATCAGAAATTGTTGTGAAATTTTTTAAAAAGTGTGGCAATTGCAATGCTCTCAATGGAACGGAAGATGATGCATTATTTAACGATGATAGTAGTATTGAAAATGAGTATCAGTTTTGATAATGAAGACAATGAATTTTATGGAATGAAGATGAATAAAATTTTAATGGTAACTGTACTGTTTTGTTCAATTGTAATAATTGTTTGATTTTTATTTTATTTTCTTACCTTTGGATATAATAAAGTTTTTATAGGCTCACATTCTTTTGCCTATTATTTTTTGTTTAATT